AATAGAACTACTGATGTTTCATTTTTTTTATTTTTTCAATGACAACATGGAATTATCTTATGTTAATAAATCATCAGTTTTGTTATTTTTTTAACGGTTGGTGATCAAAATAAAATCAAAACTAAAGGATAGTTATGATTTTTTAAAAATAATAGTTAAAGTGACCAAAACATAATAAAAATAATAGTTGAGGTACTAAAATTATAGTTTACCCTTGAGGACTAAGCTTTTGAAATTCCAGCCCCTGCCATTTTGATTTTTTTTGGGTACTTGAGTCTGAATTGCTTCTTAATTAAATTATCCTCAAACCAAAAAGAGTTGATTTTCATGGATAAACGGATTTTCCTCCCACTTGTAAAAACACACAGACAAAAATAATTTTCATAAAATTTAGCTTTTAATCCACACGAAGACGTATATATATTTCCCCTTTAGCCATCGTCTTCCTCAACCTATTGATAAACAAATAAGGAAAGACGAAAAAGAAAAGAGAAAGAGACAGAATTTGATGAAGAAGGTCGAAATCCATGAACTAAGGTCTTCTTCATCAAATCTCTGAATCTCAATTATTTATTTTCTGTTTTGTCTTTTCTTTCAATCCAAAACTAACCCAGATTTGGTTTTATTTCTCAAATAAACAAAAAAATCCGTGTTTTATCCGAGATTGTATGGATATGGGTGGTTGCATCTAGACTTAATTATCATCTTCGAGAAAAAGATTCTTTTTTGGTGGTTAAAATTTTCCAGGTGTCAGAAAATACCCCATATCAGATCTCACTAACCCCACCACCATATTTCATTTCACCTCTTTCTGGGTTCATCCACTACGATATCCTTGTTATTATACGACAGCTGTGTAGTTGTCTGTACGATTGAATTGTTGTTTTTTCTATAAAAAAAATGTTAAAAAATGGAATAATTTTGTTTTCTTTGGCTGTTAGGTAACTTTTCTGTTTGGGAGGAAAGAAAAATCTGTTCTTTTCAATATTTACTACTAATTTTTGTTTTGATTAGTCATTAACAAGGAAGGTCCACCTTTGAGGGTTTGGTGGGCTTTGATGTAAGCCAATAAAACCCCTCTCTTTTTATGATTTTTTAAAAGAAAATCAAAGTTGGGGTCTTTGTTCTATTGATGATCTCACTTTGTTTTTTAATGGGAAGGAGATGAGATGGGAGCAAGAGGATAGACAATTGGGGTTCTTCCATTGATTTCTTTTACATTATTGAATTGGGACCCATAAGAGAATTCAGTCATTCACCTCTTTGTTTTTTTCACCTTTCCTTTTTGTATTTCTTAGAATGCTACTTTGCTTGCACCTCACTTGTTTCCCCCTCATATTCTTTCTTTAATTTGAAACCACTTCCACCACCATGGGGGTTTGAGTTGAAACTTTCCTTTGCTTCCATTTCCAAGTTGATCAAAAACAGTTCTGCTCTTACTTATCTCATCTCAAAAATGTCCCTAAAAAATCTGTCTTTCTCTTCAAAAGTTGATAATTTTGATGAGGTTGAAGAAGGTAATGATGTCCTCTCTGTTCTGGACTTACCAGAATTGGTCTTGGAATGCATAATTGAGAGGCTGCCTCCCGCCGGTCTGTGTAGCATGGCGGGTGTTTGCTGCTCTTTGAGGGATCGGTGCAGGGCTGATCATTTCTGGGAAAAACATATGAAGAACAAATGGGGTAGAATCATTGGCCCTGCTGCCATTAGGGAGTGGCAATGGCATGTTGCTTTGAGAAAGGATTCGAATCATTCTAAACAAGGCAGGCCAAAGGGGCTGATGATGATTTTGTCGATCGTTAGGCCATCTTGGTGGATTAAACCAAAGGTTGATGATCGTTGTAAGCCGAGTTCTTTGCCGGATGATTCTATCATGTCTTGGTTTCTTTCTCTTGAAAATGGCAGATTCTGGTTCCCTGCTCAGGTCTATAACCGAGAGGTAATCAAATTTCCCACTTTTGTTTGTGCTACTTTTCCAATTTGACTATTAAACTCTGTTTGTGCTGGGTTTTTTTTATTATTATTGTAGAATGGCCATGTTGGGTTTATATTGTCATGCTATGATGCTGAACTCAGCTATGATCAACTTACTGACACATTCCAAGCAAGGTAATTTGGGATATGAACATATTGTTTGATGGTGGTTTTGAAACATAGATTAATCTGGTGGATTGATACTAGATTTGGTTTGATGATTTTTAGGTACCCTCCACATGGAAGGAGGGCAATGGCCATCGAGAACAACGTGTCGTGGGAGCGGCTAAGAGCACCGCCGGTCGATATTTCTCCGCACGATCTTCTCATTTCCGATTGTTTGAATGAGCTACGCCCGGGTGATCACATTGAGATTCAGTGGAGAAGAAACAAAGAATTCCCATATGGTTAGTTTTGCATATCTCAGAATGCTTATCCTATCATTGATTCTATAGCCTCATAAAATTTCCATATATATGTATGTATATTGTAGGTTGGTGGTATGGTGTAGTCGGTCACTTGGAATCGTGTGACGGGAACGAAAATTACTGCCGGTGTCATCAGAGTGGTAAGTTTGATCTCGTGTTTTCTTTTCGCAAGCGAGAGGCTCTGTGATATTCCCATAAGACTGCCCAGAGAATGATAATCTAAATAGAAATTGTGGTTAGGCATGTTACTTTTGTACTTGTTGCAAGCATCACATGATATCTGCCTCTTAAGCTATTCCAAGGGACACATCTTCTGCCTCTAGGAGTAGAAATATCTTCTCTTAAGCTGTTCTTGTAAGCTATGTTACGAGTCGGTATCTAACACCGAATATGATCAAATTTATTCATATATCTGGAAAACCATTATCCTTTACCAGATTAGTTATGTTCGAATATGAGTCGGATCCAGATACTTTTGTGGGAAATGAAAAGTTTGGGTAATATAGCAATTTATAAAAGTTAACTTTCATGGACGACATCCCGTCGTTTTCAGGAACCTCATTTTTCCAATACACGGGCCCCAAGTTGTGGTGTTGGATTGGTCCCCAATCACGAATCGCTATCGTTATGTCGTAAATTCAACCGGCATCATGATAGCTTCTGTCTCAGCAGAATATTAATGGCCAACCACACAAAAAGGACTCAATGTCTCCACTGGACCCTATTTACTTATCTAGAATCTTTAAGTCTTGTGGGGCTGCACTTGCAAATTCTCATTTATGCTCTTCCTTCTTCCGCACTAGCACAAGTCACATCAAAAATAAAAGAAAAAAGGGGTTTTTTTTTGGTAATCATTTGCAACTTGAGAAACCAGATAGATTTGCACATTTGTTACATCGAAATAAAAAGGTAACGGTGTTGTAATAAAGGCTTTTTGCTATGTCTTGAAAATCTTTGTTTTTAACATCGTACTGCTGCTACAGGTACTGTGGCGTTGGAGTTCAACCAGTACGCCCCCGGCTCAAGGTGGCGACATACAACGGTCAACCGGAAAGAACATCGCGAGGAGGGAAACGAGGCGGATGGATTTTATGGTGGAATCCGAAAACTCAGCAGCGTCGAGGAGATATCGACATGGAAACGGCTCTGGCCATCTGAAATCCTGGAATAGACTGTGTGCACCAACATTTAAGTACAGATATTGGTCTATTTCCCTTCCGACTATGCAAAATCTGTCAGATTTTCCTGCTCCATTAATGGCGCTCCCGGAAACCAGAATTCGACTTGAGAGTTGCATGAAAGTGAAAGTAAACTCCTCTTATTTACTTGGCGTATCCCACGATTATGTAAAGATTTTGTTAAAGAAAGCATTCGGAAGGGATGTGATAGAGAATTCCATTACTATATGTTGTAGAGATCACACAGTTTAGATTGTTTTTTCACATTAATGATATAGTTGATATTGCTTTCACCATGACATGAACAGACAGCTTGATTAAATGATGTTTAAATTCGAAACGATTGATAACTCGAATTTTTCAAGTTCAAACTCAACTCTATAATTAGTTATTGAATCGAATTTGAGTTGAAGTCAGATAGCTTACTTGGCGTTCATTTGTTTCATATTCTCGATTTAGTGACGGTTGCTACTGGTAAAACATTTTCATAACTAATAGTTCTAAAGATTAACCTTTGAATAAATTTCCCTGATAAGATATCTTAATCTTCGGCTCATTCTATAACCGGTTATTCAAGGATTATATATCAAAATGAGTTGTTTTGCCGGTCGTTGGAACGTCTTAGCCTTTTGAAAGTCCAATTTGATAAGATACTAACTTACGCCTCATTACGAGGGTGTGGATTTAAAACCAAGAGATTTCGAGGTTTGGAGCTTGAAATTTACTGGAATTACAGTGTTTGCAATTGTTTACCGGATGCCTCTCATCCTGCTTCTTTCATCGCGTCTCTAGTGGAATGGTGATTGTTTCCCAGTGCAGCTTTTTGGCCAGCTTTTGATATTGTGTTGTTCTTGCAATTGGTAATATTTTTTTTTTGAAGTTTTAAGACATTGTTAGTGAGTCGTCTTTTGCCTTGGTGCCTTTTTTTGGGTATGAAAGTTGTGCATATTTGCTTATTAGCATGACAAATTTAGATGATTATGTTACATGAAAAAAGATAGTTGAAATACAAAAGAGTCGATATAACATGGAGCAGGTGGCTCGTGCAGGATTACCTCGGTTGATGTGGGGGCGGAGAGCCACTATGATGGTGGTGAATGACCGAAGCATGGCTTCATTTGAGGAAGAAAGCGTGAATGATCAATGTAAAATAAAAATACATGATTTATTATGGTATAGTCGTGAAAGAAAAATACACCTGGGCTGCACAACATACCCACCTCCAATCTCACACCTCCGAAAAGAACCGATTCCTTTATATGTTGTGAGATGCAAGAAGCCAATAGAGAGAGGGGATTTCACCGCCTTGACTGAACTGTTGAAGATGAGAGAGATGGGGACAACGCATTGCTGCGCAGTGCATCATCTCCAACCATACGGATCACATGATGTCCCATTGTTCTGCCCCCTTACCTTAAAATGAGTAGGGACAGACGTCAGAGGTCTCAGAAAGTTGAATCTTTAATTAAAGAGGAGGGCGAAATGTCAGACAATGAGGAGGTACTTGAGCAGTTTAAGGAAGTGGATGGAGTGGTGTGAAGATGTTATGATTGATGAAATTAAAACCCTTCGTCGTCTCCAAAGATTGCAGACTACTAGTGCTGATCTCCACAAGGATAAGGTTTAGCTATTTCTGTTCCTAGTCCCTAATTTTAGATTTCTTTTGTATTTGTTATTGTTTTGTGAATTGAAAAAGTTCCATTTCGTTCCAGGTGCTTTCAAAAATTCGGAATTATTTGCAGCTTCTTAGAAGGAGGATAGATGGAATTGTCAGAGAACATGAAGTTGAGCTTTATAGAAAAGATAGTATGTGGTTCTTCTTGCTGTTGTTGATACTTTTGTTTGTTTGTTTATTTGTTTAATCACCTTTTCACCCATTCATTTGGTCTCTCGTATGCAATTTCACAATTTTAAACGTTTAAAGAATCCAGATGTGTGATAAATTCCATTTAATTTCAATTCTCATTGCAGGGATGACAATGCGGTTATGGAACTATGTCTCGACATTCTCGAATCTTTCTGGTGAGAGGCTGCATCAGATTTATTCCAAGTTTAAGCAGGAGAGGGGAGAAGAGGGAGGGGTCGGACCCTCACATATGAATGGCTTTATGTCTGGTCATGTCCATAGAGATGGTGATCCTGACTACTTCCCTCCTTTCTCACGTTCTGTTGAGAATCAAAGAGGGTACAAGAATGCCATGGCTCATCAAACATCACAACCAATTCACAAAGGCATTGATGCTGCAAAGTTTGAAGCTTGGAAACGGAGGCAGAGAGCGGAAGTGGATATTCATGCTCAATTACAGCCCTCGACTCAAAGACCTATGGACAATGGCAACCGTGTAGTGGATCCAAACTCCTTGGGGATTCTTGGGGCAGGACCATCAGATAAAAGTCTTGTTAGTAATGAGAGACTACATCGAACGCGTTAAACAGGTAGAAGCGTTGTGCCGATGGGCATCTAGTAAAGTAAGCTTGTAGTGCAGTGCTGGATGATATTAGGCAGAAGCATTGTGCTGACTGGCTTCGACCATGAGGCAAAAGACTACTTCAGTCTGAGTATTTGCTGGGATTCATTTTTCGGCATGGAAATAATAAGTCGCTACTTGAACCTGACTCATCAGATAAGAATTTCGTCCATGCAAAAAGCGGCTGTGGAAGAAAAATTGACTAACATGAGCAAGGCATGCTGGAGCAGTCTTGCAACAAATTTTTCTTTTCCTACCGGTTCTTTTTGTTAGCGAGTCGAGTGATTCTTTACGTGTATAGCACAAGAATAGCTGGAAAAGAAATTTCATTCATTTTTTGAGAAACATACCCGGGAGAAAAGTGTACATTTGTCAGTTGTGAATTTTTGTCTTGACAATATGCAAATTTTGTTAGCAATCATAATGGTATCAATGGACGAAGTTGGTTTGCTTTTCGATTCAAAGTTGGGTTTATTTGAGGCAAAAGCCACTCGATTCGACTTCAGGTGATTCTAGTTTCTGGAAATATCTGAACTTGAAAACAAAACTTGTAGTTCCTTACAATTTAAGAGCTTAACAGGTTTCAGAAGCATATTCCGTTTACTATAAGCAGAAGGCATCATCTTTCCCCCTTTTTCTATGTAATTATCATTCTGCAATATCTGTTCGACACCCATAATAAAATATTGAAAAAAAAAACACAAATCTGACATCACAAGACCATTGGAGTTGATGTATCTTAGCTTATGGTGCAAAAATATGATCTTTTGTGTGGTGCTTGCCTGCTTGGTTTGCAGCTGAAACTACATACACAGTTCTGGCGGTATAATGAACCTCATCTTGCTTCTCAAGACCACAATAGTAAAATTGTGTTTGGCCTTCCATTTACCATCATGAGCCATTGGGTATTTTTTTTGAAGGGGGGGGGGGGGGGGGGCTGGTCCTCATCTATTGTTGTTTCTGAAACATTTATTTTGTTTACAAAATGAAATAAGTACATGTATATTGTCCATTGTACAAATTAGAAAACGATGGATTAACTGCAAAGCACATGCAGCGTTGCAAACATTTGAAGGTTTGTGCAGGGAAGCTTGTAGAGACGGCCCTAACTATTACAAAAGATTAGAGAGATATATAAACACAATTTGAATAAAGCAGCATTATCAATTCTTCACTCTTGGAAGACATGTTTCTCGTGGAACTATTCTTGGGGTGTTTTAAATAACTCTTGCCACTTTTCGGGATCTGTTCCTGGACCTTCCCCCTGCAAAACAAATCAATATATCAGTTGTCGACTTTGGCAGAGCAGCTCTTCAGGCATATATATATATATATATGCCTGAAACTTATATGATATCTTTCGCAACCTAATGCCAAAGTGGGGATCGGATTCTTCCAAGGGTTTTCCTAATACGGTCTGATCTTTACACTTTTTTTTTCTAGGAAAGCTCAGGTATCATGTGTTCTTGCAAGAAACGATGTATATGCTAAACTGAAATGGGACTGTTGAATGAAAGACCATAAATTTTGGAAACATAACGTACCGAAGCTAAAGAGTTCTACCAAAGTCCACAGGCTCATTTTACACCTACTATCAATGTCAATAGAGAGTTCTTTCAGAGTCCACAGGTTCATTTTATACCTACTATCAATATCAATGCCTAATTGCTACGGGAAAATGTGGCATATTGTTACGAGGGCTTCAAAATCACTTGTTCTAAATAACAGTCTCAAGAAAGAAATATCACCTGGTATACACACCCGTTATCCGCTCAATGAATTGATAGGTGAAAATGTTTAAAAATACTTGCCTATCGGAACCAAGACCATTAACTCTAGGCAATTCACCATCTTTCGATGATCAAACAGGTTTAATGATCTACATGCTCTTATTGCTTCATGTTTCAGTTTCGGACAAACTAAAATGTAGACGACTGCATGTGTGGAATGCCCTGTATTTACCCTACAACTGTTGCATGTACTAACCTCAACCGAGTTGATTTCATAAATTTTGCCCTCAGTAAATTCGATGTCTAGTGCTTGTATGCAAGCTTCAGCAACCACAAGCCTGCTTACCTCTCCCACCAGTTTATCTCCTGTGTCATTTTCAAAGAAATGAAAATAAAATACACAGCTCATATAATCTGTTTTACCGTTTGCATATGAATCCCTATGCAAAGCTTTTGTTGTTTGCATGATTTAAAATGTCCATATCAAGAGAAGAGAAAGTCAGAGTGCAATGAATCGGAATTTTAGTTTCCCTATAATAGCTGTTGAAATAGGTTTTGACAACTTAATGAGAAACAGTTTAGAGTCCCATCGAAAAACCAGATTTAACATACCCTGACCAATAACAACTCTTCGACGTTGCCCAGCAGTAGCTCGAAGCAAAGTATTAAGATCATATGATGTGTAAGGTCCATCTGTCAATCTACCAGCTCTGTACACAAAAAGGTATTGTTTGGAAACACATTGAAGAAAATACAACCACCAAAAGCATGCTGATGCACTGTTTCACCATATAAAAACATATGATTAGCCATTGACCTGATGATGGTAAACGGAAGGCCAGAATTGCGAAGAAAATCTTCCCCTTTCTTTTTGTATTTGAGAACCCCAAAAAGGTTCATAATGCTGCCAAAATTAATATAAACACAGAGATAGAGTTGATGAGAAGTTTTAGCTGTAAACCAACACCCCTCAGATATTTTTAAATTTACAGGGAATAACATGATAGAACTGTATGAAACGATATTCTACTATATATTCGGCACGTAATGCAGCATGATACCTTTTCGTTTCACTGGATGAGAAGTTCATTTCAAATAATTACAAGCGGAACGAAGAAATATCGAGGCAATTTGTGAGAAATCATAATGCTAACAGAGAGTAGGAACTCTATAATTTACTATCCAAAAGATTTTCCAAATAATTATTCTTCTTACCTCCATGGTAGTTCATTGAACTTGGTTACACCAATTGATGAAACAAGAACTACTCTCTTCAACGACGAAGGCAATGCAGATACAAGATTCCTTACACCCTCCCAATCTTCAAAAAAAAATTACAAAATAGTCAAAGCCCGTCTCTCTATGTGAACATACGCATACGAGCCCATGTCTAGTTTCAGAGACATATAGCACTTTTGATGATTATGTTTTTCATTCATCACTAAAAATGTAATATTCAAGGAAAAATGACAAGAATGTTGGTAAAAAGATGTTGAACTGTTTATATGTTAAAGCAATTTCCGACCTACTCTTTCGGGAGTATTATCCCCATCCCATCTCTTGGAAGGAAATGCAGTAGTTCCTGTGCAACAAATCACATGTGTAACCCCCTGTACGAAAATCGTAAAATATTAGTACATTTGAAAATTCTGAACTGTTTGAGGTATTAATGCAAACCAAATAATGTCATTTATCTAGGAAATAAATGGAAAGAAGTTAAAGGTTTGATAGACATAAGTAAAATGCACAAACCTCAAACATAGATGGATCTAGATCTGCTGGGTTTCTTGTGTCACCTTTAAAAATCTATCAAAATTTAAAGTCACTTTCAAATTAAATTTTATATCTGACTATAGCGAAAAAATAAATAAATTAAAAATTAGAACACCGTGCAACATGAAATCAATGGAAATTCAAGGAAAACAATCGATGAGCTTGAATTATCCATGTATCAGATGGAACTCACACCTGTAGCTTCTCTTCATCTTGGTTACCAAACAGAGAAACTGCCTTCTCAGGATCTCGTAATATTAGGCGAGATTTGATGTTCCGGTTCAGCAAAGCTGCCACAACCAACTGCCCTGAAAAAAGACCAACTTGCTGATATTATGAATAACAAGTAAAGTTCGACATTGATCAGAAGTATATTTAGCCATCAGGTCAATTTGCTTGAGAGTGCACTAAGTTGAAAAAGGATTTATCCATGCGTGGTTGTCTCATTACCTAAGTTCTCTTTCATGTTTAGATCCTCTCTTTGGTTGTGCTTAGATATATCGAAGTCGATGATCAATAGGGATATGTTTAATTCATTAACAGAATGTGGAACAAAACCAATAGGTGCCTTGTATCCTAGGAAGTAATACAGAATCCATTATTTTCCCCAAGTACTTTCTACATGATTAATGAATAAGAAGACGAATATCGGGTCATAGTAGGCTGATAAAAAGGATTAAGACTGTTAGAGTTTGTTGAATATGAAAATATACTCTACTAATTCCATTCCTTGTATGCAAACATGAAATATGGTAACAAAGAAATGATGGGAAGCAAAATTCCTCCTACAACTACAATAAGTAACAATATGTTACGGTAAATCAGGAAGATAATGGAGAACAACAAACAAACAAGATCACAAACAAGAACACATAAATTTAAATGAAAAATCCTTATCTAGTCCTTCCACATCCACCGCATATCCCATTAAGGGCAAATTTTCCAGACCAAACCATAATAGAATTCGGATCACAAACTCTAACAGTCTTCGAGAGCAAATCTACACTACCTGAAACTAGAGTATAGACCAACAATGAAAAACTAAACAACAAAACCATGAAAAATCCCTCCTTTTCAGCCTTGCTTTTGCTTATTCTCATCCTTAACATTAGGTAATCTTCATAATCTCTTATCTATTGTTTTAGAGTTTGATTTGAATTTGATGTGACACAAGTTCTGAAACCAGAGTACAGACCAATAACTGCAAACTAAAAAACATAACCATGAAAAGCCCTTCCTTTCAGCCGTGCTTTTGCTTATTCTTCTCCTTAACATGAGGTAATCATTCATAACCTCTTATCTTTGTTGTTAGAGTTTGATTCGAATTCAATGCAACACAAGTTAATTAAGAGATAACTGTGCTTTTATTATAACATGTGTCTTAGTTAAGCACTTAGCCATTCGATCCATTTGTGAAAAATGCCTAGAAAATGATTTCATATGTGTTGTTTCTTACAGGAAACTGGGTTATTACAAATGCACAAGCCATGTGTAAGAAACCATTGCATGGAGGTGGCTGCAAGCCATATGAGTGAAATTTAAGGGAAATTCCAGACAATTACAACAGGCCTTCTCTAAACACTAAACTAATCCAAATGCAAAGTTCAGTGAACAAATCCACAGCTACAAATAAGCAAACCACAGTAAAATTATACAAAATACAAAGTAAAAAGAAAAGAGCTTACCGACGCCGCCGGTGGCGCCTACAACAAGAACAAGCTTAGAGGAAGAAGGAGTAGTTGTTGGAGAAAGAAGGGTAGTTTCTGAAGTTGTAGATTGGATCACTTCTTCTTGCAGAGCATTCACTTTCACCGATAATTCTCCTCTAAAGCCTGAGTTTTTCTTGGAGAATCCAAACCCATCACAATAACTTTGGTGCGAAAGAGCCAAGCTTGGCTTTTTTTGAAATGCTTTTGAGGGTTTCTCTAGAGGGAATTGGAATGTGAAGGAGAGCTTGGCAGCCATGAAAATAAAAAATTTGACACAAGGAAGAAGAACAAATGTAGGAGGAATCGTTTGTTTGTGGCTGTTATATTTGCTGCCGATTCACTAAAATATGTGTTGGGTAAAAATATTGGAAAAATGTCCAGATTGGCAAACACGGGTCACTCCTTGAACAAGATTTTTTAGACATATGGAATGTTCCTAGACACGTGGATAAATTAGCTTATATGAAATTACTTGAAATAAAAAATCAAACATGTCTTTAATTCATTAATATCATTTTGAAATTTAATATTTTTCAAGGAAAATTACACATTTAATATTTCAATTATCACTTTTGTTTCGTTTTGGTCACTCAACTATTTTTCTAAAATCATACCTAACATCTAGTTTTAGTTTTATTTTGGTCTCTCACAATTAAAAAATTAACGCTAATGTTGTTGTGTCACTATAAGGTAATGTCACGTTATCATTGAAAAAAAATTTACATTTTAGCAGTTATGTTAATTTTTTAACGCTGAGTGATCAAGATATGATTTTAGAAAAAATAATTGGGTAACCGAAATGGAACAAAAGTAATATTTATGATACTAAGTGTGTAATTTTCCCAAAAATAATCATGTTCACTATTTGCATAATGGTAAATAAGAAGTTTGTATTATTGACAAGTAAAATGGTAAAGTCAATCTCTCGTGGACATGGGGTGCCCAAATAATATCTGTAGAAGTATCATGTAGTTTGTTTCCTCCTCTACTATTCAAATCCTTTGGAATGGGTCGCTCTAGAAGGAGTTCAAACCCACCCGGGATATTCGTCAAGGTTATCCCCTTTCGCCTTACCTTTTCATCATTTGTATTGAGAGACTTAGCTAAAGCATCCACTATGCTATGATATTGGCCTTTAGGAGCCGATGATTCTCTCTCGTGGGGGACCTTCGCTATCTCACCTCTTTTTTGCCGACGATTTAGTTCTTCTGAGAAAAGCTTCCTCCAATCAGGCTGATATGATAAAGGTGATCCTTGATCAGTTTAGTAGGTTTGATGGTCACAAGGTTAGCGCCATCAAGACAAGGGTTTTCTTTTCCTCTAATGTTATTGATGTTACTATTAATAATCTTTGCAGGCATATGGTTTCCAGTACACTAAAAACCTTGGTAAATACCTAGGCATACCCTTATTCCACAAGAGAGTGACAAAGAATGTCTTTCAGTTCATTATGGATAAAGTCAACAACAAACTTAGCAGTTGGACGGCTACCAAATTCTCTCTGGCCGGTTGGATCAAACTTGCCAAAGTCACCTTGTTAGCTATTATGTTTAATCTATTTTGATATAACAAATTAAGCTCAAAATGTTTTTGGACTTCATTGAATTTATTCAAAGCTTTCAAAAATAATTCAAAGTCCAGTAAACTATAATTTGAACACAAGAAAATTTTTCTGGCAAAGAAGTATTGATATTGTGCTTACAGTATCGATACCTCATTAACAGTATCGATATTGTTCTTGTAATATCAATACCAAAGGCAAGCAAAGTATCGATACCCATATGGTAGTACCGATACTACTAGAAGTTTTCAAAAGTGTTCAGATTTCATAATGCAATTTTGGTACCGATACTTAAAGGAGTATTGATACTACTTTGTACAGTAGTATTGATACCATGATCCTATTATCGATACTGGTGTGGCCCAACAGTCTTTAACGACTAGTTTTATTTAAAAAGTTATTAAGACAATACCGATACTCATATCTTGAGTACCAATACTCTTTGGTCTGGGCAATTTTATTTTGCAGCAATTAAGTCCCTAATGGCTAGAAACGGTCACAAACTTATTCTAATATATAGAAAAACAAGTTGAAGACACTTGAAGAATGTTACAACACTTATCCAAGCAATCCACATCAAGAGAAAATCTTTTTCATTCTTATTTTTCCTTTTCTCTTGTAAATAGAGTATTTTAGTGAGCTTAAATTGTAAACACTTACCTTGTAGAGGTTTTCTTGTTTGCACAATTCTTATCATTTGTTGAAAAATGGTTGGTTTTAGTTTAACCATTTAAAACTAGGGAATTTGTAACAGGTTGCTTTTGAGTCTAGAAAAAGAAAAAATAAATTAGTGAATTTGTTAGAAATTATTAGTTAGGAGATAAGGTAGTGGATGTACACTTCATTAAAAAAGTTGAACCACTATAAATATTTGTGTAAATTTTCTTATCATTTAATTCCCAAAGTTTTCAAAAAAAAAAACAAATTCACCTCATCTTGACTTTTTTTGGCTAATTTTATAAAACATTAAATCCTAACAATTGGTATCAGAGCTTGTATCATTTAAAGGTCTTACAACCTCTTAAGACGATCTTTGAAGAAACTCTATCAACTCCCGACTAAACCGAGAAGATGATTTTGACTTCCGACTCATACTACCTTAAGGACTTTCACTTCATCAAGAGGCATCCTTACTTCAATGGTGTCAATTACTCCTATTGGAATAATAGGATAAGTTTGTTCATTCAAGCGATCAATCTTGATGTTTGGGATGCAATCATCGACAGTTCTCTCGTTCCTCAAAGAAAATGGTCTAAGTGGACCAAGAAAGATAAAAAACTTGCCCAACACAACGCTAAAACCATGCACATTCTCTTTTATGCACTTGGGTCGGACTAATATAGTAGAGCATCTTCATGCTCTAATGTAAAGAATATTTGGGACAAGTTGGAGGTAACACATGAAAGAACAAGCTAAGTCAAGAAGTCCAAGATTGACATTCTCACTCTCAACTACGAGAACTTCAAGATGAAACCTGATGAAGACATAAAGAAAATGTCCAATCGGTCCACTTCAATCGTCAATGAGTTGAAGAACTTTGGGAATGTCTATCCCAATGAAGAAATAGTGAGAAAGATGTTTGCATCACTGCCAACATCTTGGGAGGGCAAAGCAACCGCCATCGAAGAAGCCAAGGATTTAGAGTTGTAGACCCTCGATGAGCTCATCGATTCTTTACTTACTCATGAGGTGATACTCCAAAAGAATAAGGAAAAAGAAGAAGAGAATAATAATAAGAAAAAGAAAGAAGTAGAAATCGCCTTCAAATCCACCAATGAGAGTAATCAAGACTCATGTGAAGAGGTGGATGAAGATGAAGAGATTGCCAAGCTCTTTAAAAGATTCAAACAATTCATGACTTTGAAAGAAGACAAGAAGCATGAATCGAGTAAAAAAAAATCTTCCATAGTATGTTTTGAGTGCCAAAAAATGGGGCATGTCAAATATGAATGTCCCTTCCTAAAGAAGAAGTGATAAAAAAAGACATTTTTGGCGGCTTGGAGTGATGAAAAAAACTCCAATGATGAAGATGAAGTTGCCAACCTATGTCTGATGGCTATCGAAGAAGATTCAATAGTAGCTTCTAACTCTAGTGATTTAAATTCTTATTCATTTAAAGAGTTACAAGATGTCTATGATGAATTGTGTTTGGAATTTGAGACCATGAATTCCAAATATAAGAAATTAATTTCAAAATTTAAAGTTGAAAATGATTTTCCTTTGAAAGCAAAATTAGATTTTTAAAAGCAAAATGCAATTTTGAAATATGATTTTGAGATTTCAAAAAATGAAATATTGATTTAAAAGTTAAGTTTGAATGTTTAACGAAAGAAAAAGAAATAATTTCTCAAAATAATTCATCATGTTTAAAAATGACAAAATGCTCACACTGTCATTTTTATGGTCACATGAAACATACTTGTCCTTTAACACTTAGAAAACATTTTAAAATTAGACAAACATTTGCACTAACAATCAAGAATCCAAAGCAATTTGGATAGCAAAATCCAAATGAATGTCTCTTGTAGGTGTGTGGGAGCAATGTTAACAAAAGTGAAGAAATTCAAATGCTCTAACCGCACAAGGAAACGAATGTGAAACCTCTAAATTTCATGTTTTTGTTTCTATATATTGGTTGCCTATTTTTTTTTATGCATGCATGACTTTTTAGCATAAATGATTAATTTTTCTCATGCTTGTTAAAATGTGTTATGGTGAACATTTTAAAGTTTCAATGATTTTAATTAAATTTTTAGTTCATCATAATGATATTTTTGTCAAATTTGTTTTCTAATGTTTTTTACAAAAATATGTTTTTTACAAAATTTTATTTTTGACCTTAAATTTAAATGTTTATGCATGTGTTTTTTGTTGTAATGATATTTCTCTAACAATTAATATCAAAATTTTCAAATGCATAACATTTTTAGAAAGCTTTATGCATATGAGCTTTAATGTCTCATGTTAATATTGCATAAAGTAGAATAGACTAATATTTATTGAATTTCATGTGTTACTAATATGTTTGTTTATCTTTGTTAAAATTCAATAGTTTTTTAGTGTCAAGTTTTTAGAGTCAAATTTTTTTTCCAGGAATGCTTTTGTTGAGGAGGAGTTTTGACTTCTCAAAAAGAGTTTATGTTAAAATTTTTACTTACTCTCCAGTGTTATTTTGAAATTATAAGTTTGAATTATTTGCGATATAACAAAAAGAGGGAGAAATATATGTTTGAAAAATTCAATTTCAAGAATGAAAAATGAGGAGCTTAAATATTTTTCAACATACTTCTCTTTTTCATTAATGTTTTATTAAGAAGTCTTGCCAATGTCATTTTTCAAATGTTTTGTTGTATCGAAAAGGGTAAAAAAAATTTGGACTTGATTGAATTTATTCAAAGCTTTCAAAAATAATTCAAAGTCCATTAAACAAGAATTTGAACACAAGAACATTTTTTTGGCAAAGAAGTATTGATATTGTGCTTACAATATCGATACCTCATTAATAGTACCGATATCGTTTTTGTAATATAGATACTAAAGGCAAGCAAAGTATCGACACCCAAATGATAGTACCGATAAGAAGTCTTCAAAAGTGTTCAGATTCCATAATGCAATTTTGGTATCGATACTCAAAGTAATATCGATACCATGACCCTAGTACCGATACTGATGTGGCCCAAAAGTCTTTAACATCTAGTTTTATTTAAAAAGTTATTAAGGCAGTACAAATACTCCTA